CCCAGTGGCTTTTAAACCCCAAAATACATTACGGCAAAGACTGGTTCACCCCAAAGATCCAGTCCCCCGGCACAAACAGAGTAATATTGTGTATGCTGTTCAGTGTCAGGAGGGCTGTGATCAGTCTTACATCGGGGAAACTAAACAGCCACTGGCCAAAAGGATGGCCCAGCACAGAAGATCAACATCATCAGGCCAGGATTCTGCGGTCTACACTCATCTTCAGGCCAGCAGTCACTCTTTCAAGGATGAAGATGTTCACATCCTGGACAGAGAGGAACGATGGTTTGAGAGAGGAGTAAAGGAGGCCATCTTTGTGAAAAGAAATCGTCCATCATTAAACGGGGGTGGAGGCCTCCGGGTTCAACTGTCCCCCTCTTACAATGCTGTGATTGCTAGTATCACTCAGCCCTCTGTGAATAGTAAACAGCCATCAGTGTGCTAATGATCCATTGTTAGGCTGATGGTCCTTCTTGATCATGTGATCAGCTGGTTTTGGTTGTCAGCAGCAAACTGGTTGATCCACTCTGAGAAGGTGCTATTTAAGAGACTGAGCTGAAAACAGCACCTCAGACTGAGGAAGTCTCTTGGATGAGAGACGAAACGTTTCTATATTTTTTTGCTTTGTTTTGTTTTTTGTTTTTTTGAATGTCCAGAGGACCAGATTGAACTTTTTTGGACTTACAAGAAATGCTTCAAGATTGAGAAGAAATGTAGGAATTAGATAAACGACCAAGCTATACCATATTTTTCGGGCTACAAGGCGCATTAAGCGAAACAAAACAGTCAGATAAGTCAAACTTTATTCAACTCATTCACAATAACCACACAAAATTGGTTCGAGGTCAGTAAGCACTACCAGAATTAGTAGATAAGGCTCACTGTCTATTTTTGAGAAAATTAAAGGATTTTAAGTGTGCCTTATAGTACAAAAAATATGGTACTCATGTTTTAAAATCACGTATCAAATTCAAGGCCCGGGGGCCAAACGTGGCCCTTGTTGACATCTTATCTATCCCCCAAGTTGATATGTAAAACATAAAATACTTTTATCACTAGAGTTTTTTCAGTAATCTTTGATTATAATCCAAAAAAGTTCAATCTGGTCCTCTGGACATTCAAAAAAACAAAAAACAAAACAAAGCAAAAAAATATAGAAACGTTTCGTCTCTCATCCACGAGACTTCCTCAGTCTGAGGTGCTGTCCTTCTTGAGCATGTGATCAGCTGGTTTTGGTTGTCAGCAGCAAACTGGTTGATCCACTCTGAGAAGGTGCTGTTTAAGAGACTGAGCTGAAAACAGCACCTCAGACTGAGGAAGTCTCTTGGATGAGAGACGAAACGTTTCTATATTTTTTTGCTTTGTTTTGTTTTTTGTTTTTTTGAATGTCCAGAGGACCAGATTGAACTTTTTTGGATTTTTCTACCTGGATTATTGAGCATGCATCAGGATACTTTGATTATAATGTTGAAAGCACAACAGAGAACATCAAATGATACCAATCAAACTCTTTTTGGGGAACCTGTGACCGAGAAAAGATGTTGGCTATCTGACTTGAGTTAATGTAGTTTCTGAAACTGACCCTTTGTTAGAAAAAAGTTTTACTTTTGGCCCCCTTTTGTGAGCTTGCCACTTATGAGATATTCCAATATTGTTTTCAAAAGGTGAAAATGAGTACACCTGATTATAAATCAACAGGCTGCTAGAACAACCATTGTATCAAAATAGAGGAAAAGGCATTAGAGTTCATTTATATTACTTGTTGAATGCTCAGATTTTTTTTTATTTTTCTTTTACTTTTATCCAAAGACATTATATTTGATCTTAAATTAAGGACTAAAATCAAGAAAGATATGCATTTTCCCAAACAGTTTTATTCTTTCATTTGTCACAATTTTACTGCATATGTTTCTTCTACTTCAATTACTGCAATTTCTAGACTACTGAGCGCACTATCCCTTAAGCTGCACCCACTAAATAAAAATGAAAATTGCACATATATAAGCCACGCTTGTGTATAAGCCATGGGTGTTCACATTGTAACATGTTTACACAGATTTTTTTTTAAACTTTTAATTAAATACGAACCGGTAACATACACAAATGGGTACAGTAAATGTTTATTTTCTGAAGAGTGCCTGTAACACAGCTGGTTATAAATAAATAAATACAGCAGCCTACCAGGAAATGCCAAGCTTATGTGCAGTAGCTCTATTTCCTTCTTCAACAGCAACATCGATTGCCTTTAACTTGAAAGCATCATCTGCATTTCTTTGTGTGTTTTCGACGATGAGTGTCTGTGCATGATGCGCAAAATAACTGATCTGATTCATTTAGTGCATGTGTATGATTTATGGTAATTTGAAATTTCATTGGTCCACTGTGACCAGTTTGGTAATTTCATTGGACAGTTTTTTTTTTTTTACCTTTATTTATACAGGTAGTCTCACTGAGTCATGAAGACCCACCCCCCACAAGAGTTGTGTATTGGGCAGCTATGTGAGCATCCAGGTGTGAAGAAGTTAAATGTTTTGGTGGCATGAAGCTTGTTAGCCCATCAAAAAAAAAAAATCCATGAATTAGCTGCAGCATTGTAAAAGCCGTGGTGTTCAAAGCGTGTGAAAAAAATAGCAGCTTATAGTCTGGAAATGATGGTAAACCGAGCTACATGAGCAAATAACAGATGAACGCTATGTGATAATAGTGAAAAAATGTTTGTTTCTACATCAGAAGTTCCAAAAGACAGCCAACATTTTGCTTCCAAACATTTAGTATTTGGTGGAAACTGTTGTAAATTTCCATCTGTCTAAATCTCAATATTAAAGATTGTTAATGCATTTATCTAATATGCATTTGCCCAGGCCTCCCTTGCAAAATATCTGTGATCTCAATGGGATTTGCCTGGTTAAATAAATGTTAATAAAATGAATAAATAATAATAACTTACTGAGTGTTTGATGTCTTATTTAGGACATACTTTATATGCTAACGTGATGCATTAAGGTAAAGTAATATATTTTGATACTCTGAATGTTGACATGCACTGACAGGAAAAAAAACCTCAATTGGAAATAAAGCATCAACACTGACTGCATAGTTCTCTGCTCATGAGGAAATTTGAATTTCACCGAAAGGTTGTTCAAGCTGTGAGTCACAGCTCATGCTCTGACAAGTCAAAAGTCTGCCATGAGACGAGGATTCATTCTTTCCCAAGTTTAGTTTCTCCCTTCTTCTGAAGTCACCACAGTGTTGGCTGCAGTCACGCTCTGCCAGCGAAGCCAACACTGCTATGAGCTCATGTAGCTCAAACTTGTACCTGTGCCCATGTTGTCAGCAGAAGAGGTGTAAACAATTTCACACGGTATAAATAGCTGCCAATTAGACTTTCAGAGGTAGTTTTGGTATCTGATTCACACAGGAGCTGTAAAAGGTTCTCAAAATAACATTAAAAAAATTAATGAAAACAGAGACAATTGATAAATCTGTTAATCCTCAGACTGAGATTGAGGTGATTCTCAACAAACAGAATTATTGCAATTTAGGTGTTTGTCAAGGTCGATTAGCTGTGATTACCAGTTACAGATGTGACTGCTTTCTGAGACATTCATACATTCTGTTTCACAAAATGAGATATTTTACTAACAGATTGAAAGGGACTCTAACAGTTAATGGCACCGATTAAGATCTCACTCAATGTGTTACCACTACCACACAGAATCTTTGCTCAAAATCTGTAAGAATTTGCATCATTTTCCTGATTAATTAGTTAAGTTAGCTGTGGTGGCCATCTTGAATCAGATGCACATCCAATAAATACTTTCTGCGAGTTTCATTACAATCTGTCAAGTAGCTCTAGAGATATTTTACTAATACAGAAACAGACACATGCACATATAATTACACAATTGCCTGCCTGGCAGCGGCAGATAATACATCTGTTGTGTTAAATGGGGTTGTGTTATTATAAATATTGGAAGTGGTAAATTACTAAAAGCAGCAAACATGCGACTTGGCAAACAAAATGCATAATCACATTAAAAATAATTGATGTACAGAGGTCATTTAGTGTTTTGTGGAATTTCAATTCAGTGCATTTCTGCTGCCAATGAGTTTGTAAAGTGTTTTTGTAAAGAAAAGCAGATTTTGTAATTTTATGTCGTCAGCTCTTGGAAATCATTTGGAAATCTCTGAATGTGCACCCTGTCATTATGACTCAGATCCTTGCAGTTTAGCTCTTAAAAGGTGCACTACACCATAACACAAATGGATCTTATCTCATGAAAAAAAGGGGAAAAAAAACAGACAAACCTAATTTGGAGCTCCTCTGCAGATCATAAATCTTAAAACCAGATTAGGGACTTATAAAGCTGTTTGTTGCCTTGACATCTTGATTTTTCTCTCATCTTTTAGCTAACATGTTTATGCACGTTAGAAAATCTTGACTGTGGAATATAAATTTATCTATACACATGTGAACCAGATCACTTTATATAATGAAGATAGTCAAAATATACCTACAAAAACAAATAAATGCTATTTTTTTAAATACTTTTGCAACAAAGTGAAGATACAGGAAGTTTGCACTTTTTGTTTCACTATTAATTTCGCAACTTAAAATTGAAATGTCAGAATTTAAAAAGGAATTTTTTTTATAGAACATATAACTATAGTTAAAAATAGTGTATCTTTTTGGGAGGGTACGGGCTAAAAAAAGTTTTTAATTATAGTTTCGAAATTATTCTCAAAAGAATGCATACTATAAACATTTTTTTAATTCTGATTTCATAATAAATGTGGTCAGAAGACTAAATACTGTTTTGTGGTAACCCTGGGACAGCTATGTGTTGCATGCAGCAGTGAAAATAAGAGTACAATCTATATTTGTAAGGATAATAAAAATAATCGGAATAGGTTAAAAATAAAGCAGTGAGGAGTTGGAGAGGGGGCGCGCAGCGGATTGGTTTCTCATGGCTGTCAGGGATCGAATACTGCAGCCGGGCTGTCTGGCTCTGGGACGCACCTGCATCGTAGAAACTGTCCAGCACAGATGTTTCTCCGAAGTCCAGCCTTCCGAAGGTGACCGTGGTGAGCAGCGCGCTCTCCGCGTCGCACGCTCTCTGCAGGCACTGCAGCGCGCCGGACTCCGGGCTGCTCGCCATCACCGACTTGAGCCCGTCGTTCAGGACGTACACCACGCGCAGGGAGCGCTGCCTCGCCTGCAGACTGGGGCTGCACGCCTCGCCCCTGTCCCGGTCTCTGTCTCGCTCCGCCGCGCACACTCCGCCGGCCGCGTGCTCTCCAACCAAGTCGGCTCCGACCTGCGCGCTCTGCCCGGCTTCCATGGCGCAAACCTGGGGAGTGGATCTCGTTTACCTCCTTCCCTCTCCGCCCTCTGCAGTCTGTCAGCTCCTCCGTGTCCTCCTGCTCTTCTGCTTGCGCACGAGCGGCGCACCTGTTGTCGCAGGAGAGGAGCGTCGGGGTTTGTCCTCGCGCATCTCCGCCTCATTAACTCACATCAGCTGCCGATTATCTCGCACCACGAAGCCGCGCGCGCTCAACCCCGCAACTGGATCCGACCAGACCACAGAGGAGGAGGTCTGGAGAAAATGGGAAGTCTGTGGAAGAGAAGTTGATTCTTTAGCAGCTTTGTCTGTTTTAAAGTTTGTAATGTATCACTGAATAACTGTCCTACAGCAGCCAGGTGTGTTTTCTAACAAACTTTCTGACAAAAAAACAAAAACTTTTAACACTTTTTTTTAGCCTGATCAGAAACTTTTAATTCATGGGATAAAAAAAAATAAAAATATAACTTTTAGATGATATGTTGGACGGTATCTTCGTCTCAGGGTTTAACGCCCGTTCAGCCCTGTCTAACCGGTAATTGGACCCCACCTAGACTTCTGAGTATTACCCAAACAATGCTATGGTCAGGGCCTCTTAGGCTGGCTTCGAGAAAGATTCGACCAGGCATTAACAACCTTCATCTGCAGGATGCACCCCTATTTCACCTCACAGCTCTTAGAGTCAAGTAGCAGTGACCCCAAAGTTTACCATAAGATATCCTGCACTATGGCTGCTCTTCCTCTGTTTGACGTTTTGCAATCTGTGCAAGACCTGGTAATTTTCCTAGGCCAGGACAAGTTGGCCATATGAGGATGCTGTTCAAAAATCCAACTAAGTAACCGTTAAAACCTCCCAAAATCTCAGAACCAAGTACACTTCCTGAGTAAGTTCAGCAATGAGCATGTATCATTCAGATGCCATCAGGAAAATGAGTCCAACACTATGATTTTCATGCTTTGAGTTTTTAATCATAAATTTGCATAAGGTTACATTTGTAGCTTTCAAAAATCCAGCAGCAGTGCAAGCAAATGTGTTTCAAAAAATGCAGTATAATAAAAATTTAAAAAATGTGTGAAAATCCAAATTCCTCTAGGTGTGGATGTATCAATCTCATAAAAATCTCTTGTAAATGGCCTACGCCCTAACTGCGATGTCCCTAAGAAAAACCACAAAATGCAAACTGTAATTTTTAAACTGGGTAAAATGATTCAAAAAGGCTGGTTCCTACCGCATATCCCATGATTGGATCGGTTTTCCAGGAAAAAGGAGAATAATTCCTACAGCCTTTGTTGAAAATGGTCATCAAATGTTCTAAATCCAGTAAGAGACTTGTTCAGAGTTATCTGGGGTCAGTCCTCTTGAAGGGTGATCATGTGCTAATGAGCGGTTCTTCATTGCTTTAAGTTTCCATCTTTTGCTGTTTTTTTTTTTTCCAGCTCATCTGCAGCCAAAATATTCCCTCTTCAATCTTCAGATCTGATCCAAGTCTTCAGAGCTTGATGACCGTGTTCCATCTCTACCCGAAATGACTGATCGACCTTCGTCTGCTATCTTTGTCTTTTTAAACTCATCTCTTTTCTCTGATTGGCTTGTTTCGGATCTAACTTCCATTTTGAAAACTTGTCAACCATTTTGAAGACTTTTCAACAGTTCAAAAGTTTGTTTCCTTTTTTTTTCAGCGTGTGCTTTTTATGCAACCGCTCAGCTGTCTAAACAGCATACTTCCACTTCTGTTGTAAGCTTGTGACAGGTGCTTTGCCTAACATCCTCATATCTGGCCGCCACCTTTATTATTTCTCAACTCTCAACCTTTAATCTTAAACGTAAAAAGGTACTTAATAAAAATATAAACTCAAAAAAACCCTTCTTCTAAAATCACTTGACTTAACAATTAAAAGTGAAATCCAGCTCAGTCACTTAATGAAAACTTATTTGATCACAAAATAGATTATAAAGGGACTTTTGATTACAAAAAATATCATAACATTTGATTGTTTCAGCACCTTGACAGACAGACATAAAATCTTTATTTTAATCAACACACCCACAAAACTTCCACCCAACTTGACAGCGGAACATCAGAATGGTTTCTTTTTAAATGTTATTATTGAATTATTATTATCATTATTATTATTATGTTCTTTAGGGCAAATTGTCAGTGTGTAACATGTTGATTTTAGTTTGCAACTTGACTGTGATTGTGTGGTAGAAAAACTGCTTGTTGCTCATTGGTTCCCGATGGCATGGCAAGAAAAGAGGTTTAATTTTTCTTATCCAACAGTAACACAAGACAAATTCAATTTTCCTCTTTGTGCTTTTTAAAATTCACTTCAGGTGTATTTATTTTGAACGACTTATTTAGGATTACTGATGCACTTTTGTTATTATATCTTTATTTTTGATTTGCTGCAGGTACTGCAGATTTGGGAAAGAACAACTAAGAAGGTTAACTTCATTTGGGGATGGTTTGTGAAGTTTGTTAGCAGCATATTGTAGACATAGATAAAATATAAAAAAATAGTAAAGCGTGTCATCTTCACAAGAAGGGACATTTTTAGGAAATATGACAAAGCAAGTGAGAAAACTAACCCCCTTTAGAGCTATACATCTTAAGCACTAAACTATTCATCCATCCTATGTTTGTTCCAAAGTTGGGTCGCGGTGGCAGCAGCTTGAGCAGGGAGGTCCAGACTTCTTTTTCCACAGCCACCTCTTCCAGCTTAGGACTCCAAGGTGTTCCCAGATCAACCAAGAGATATCTCTCCAGCATGTCCTGGGTCTTCACCAGGATCTCCTCCCAGTCGAACATGCCCGAAGCACCTCAACTGGCTCCTCTCGATGTGGAGGAGCAACGGTTCTACTCTGAGTTTCTCTTGACCTCACCCTATCTCTAAGGGAGAGTCCAGCTACCCTGCAGAGGAAACTCATTCTAACTGCCTGTATCCATGATCTCAATGTTTCAGTCACTACCCAGAGCTCATGACTATAAGTGAGAGTAGGAATGTAGACCGACTGGAGAGAGCTTTGCCTTACAGCTCATCTCCCTCTTCACCACAATGGACCGGCACAGTATTGCACACACTGCACCAATCTGTCTTTCAGCCTCACGTTCCATTCTTCCCTCACTCGTGAACAAAACCCCGAGATACTTGAAGTCCTCACTTGAGGCAGAACCTTTTTTTTAAATAAAAATAATATACATCAAAGAGTAGGTACTTTTATCTTTGACCTGGTGTGTTTCATGTTATTTTGCACAAATATCCCAGATTGTATGTCTGCTCATGAAAGATATCTGTGAATGCACAAGTTCTCCACACACTTCTCCTGCACAGAGACTTTCAAACTTCACAAACTTTCTCTTCGAATGTGAAAATGAAAGACATTTTACATTTTTACATCTCCTTCATTAATACGTAACTAATGTGCTGCGTTGCAATACAATACTTTTTTTTTTTAAATAAAACTCCTTATTTTGCACAGCTCTCATTTGTCTTGAACTCACTTTTTATTCTTCCATTCTATCTACCTGTCTTATTAAGAATGCTTACAGGAAATGACCGGAACAGAGAAAACAGCTTTTTTTTTTTTATCTCATCTTTGTAGCTGCTTGAGACCTGAGTAAGTTTTATTTGTTTATTTTATTTTATTTTTCATTGTAAATGTTTAATGGACTGTCTTTCAGGTACCCAGGTTTTTTGTGTGTGGTCTCCAAATAAACTGGGCAAGATGAACACGACAAGATTATTTCAAAAAGAGAACTATTTAAGGTTGAACTGTAAAAGGAAGATGCAAAAAAATATCAAAAATAAAACCTCCTACAGCTTGTTGAGTACGAGTCTGAAGTTAATTTCTTCTGAACATTGTTTCTTCTAATCATGTCAGGTTGTGCTCATTTCTGTACACACTGCCTCACCAAAAAAAAAAAAAAAAAAAAAAACAGAAAAGAGGGGTCAAATTAAAGATCAGACCAAGTTCATTAAACATAATTATTTAAAAGAGCACATTATTGTGATCATGTTGATCACAGCATGTCCCATTTTCTCATAAACATTTTAAAAGGGACTGAACTTGTAGAAATATTTGCTCGTTTTATTTATCAATTATTTCATTTTTTTAAACAGAAATGTACTATGTAAAAAATATCATTTCAGATATATGATATCCTCTCTATAAGCCCATGAACATGTAGGATGAACACATATGGCACAGAAATGCTTTGAAAATACTGATTTAACCCCAAACTTTTGAAAAAACTCAGAGCTTTAATGTCGGGTTTGACAATTCTGCTTGATTAATTAATGTTTGTTCCTTATTCCCATTTACAGCATAATGGTACCACTTTACAATAAGGTTCCCCTTATGGCTAATAAAGTTTATAGATACATTATTAATTCCTTCATAAACACTTTATAAACCATTAATAATTGCCTATTATGCATTAATTGTGACAGATGACCAGTTTGTTGCCAAATAGTGACCAAATCTGCCACCTATATATTTCATGTAGAGTTGTTATATTAAACATTTCAGACTAAGTTACTACCTTGTAAGCACAATAAGCATTTGTAAACTTTTTTTTTTAGGATATATTAGTTGTAGATACAGTACTTATAATGCAGTAATAAAGTACAATATTATATGCTCAAGAAATGGGTTGACATCTTACCTCTCCATCAATCTGGTTTCAGGAAACAACACAGC